ATATATTTCTATATATACTCAATAACGCAAGAAGCAAACCAAAGCCCAGAAAGCCTAAATGAATTTCTGTTCGCAGACGACCTATGTCTTATTCATCATGACCGACAAAGCCTCCAAAATCACACTACCGAACTCAACAACACCTGTGAGAAATTCAACATGAAAATAAGCACATAAAAAACAGAAGTTATGAAAGTGAGCTGAAACCATAGTCCCCTAAACCTCCATGTCGATAGTAAACAAGTGAAGAAGTTTAAATATCTTGGCAGCACTTTTTCTGAAAACGGGTCCATAGACAGAGAAATAGAAATGCGAACTCAAAAAGCCAGCTCGCACCCCTCCTAGCTCATCCAAACATCTCCATGGACACAAAGAGACAGCTTATCAACAACATTATGTTATCAGTGCCAGACCTGGACCTTAAGCAAAACGCATGAAAGCAAAATCACCGCATGCGAAATGAAATGTCTCCGCAAAACCCTTAACATCACAAGACGAGACAGGCAGAGAAATGAAGACGTAAGAGCAGCTATCGGCACTGAGTCCTGCCTGCATTACATAGAAAGACAGAGGATAAAATGGTTTGGCCACCTCTTACGCATGTCACCTGACCAGCCAGTCTCGAGAGCTTACAACACCAAGCACTCAGGCTACAAAGGAAGAGGAAGGCCACGCAAAAGGTGGATCGAGGGTGTCAAGGAAACCCTAAGAAAACATAACAACACATATGAAAGAGCTGCGGAGCTGGCCTACCATAGAAAACTGCATCTCCCCTCGACGCGTAACGGCAACAAAGGATGAAAAAGTAAAAGAAAAGTAAGTAATCCACATTTTTCAGAAAAATCCACACAGAAATTAGTTCTATCATGGGCATGAAAGGTGTCGAGCCAAAAGAAAACCTGATAAAAGTTCACAAACCTGTTGAAAAAATGCAAGTTTCTTCACTTTGATTATTTTGACGAGAGCCTGATTCCACCACGCTGCCTCACATTTATTGTTTTTAACTCCACTAAGGAATCAAATCCACGTCTTCTGCATACAATGGCAAGGAGCAAAAACGTTTCATCAGAGACACTGGTAAGAAATCAACACAGAGTTGAAAAAAAGAAATGGCAAAAGCTTGACGATCTCGCTGGGTGTGATATGAGTACATGAATGTAGCTAGAAATGTAGCCGCCATAACTGTCCTGGATTGTAAAGCGCATAGAGCATGCTTTTGAGCATGGATATGCGCTAAATAGATGCAATTATTATTGTTATTATTGTTTTGCTTTATTTAACGACGACAAGTTGGTAGGACAAAGGGCAAATTACACTAGGAACATGTTACACTAAAAATGACACGGTTCAGAAGTACAAGATACAGACCCGTTCTTCGAGCGGAGATATAGTGATAGGAAATCCCAAGGTTAAATGCTTGTACCTGATTCATTGCCGTAAGACCTCTAGACCTCTTAGCAGACAACATTGTTGGTATATTATATGCGAAATTTCAATTTAAAAAATAAAGTTTGGTCACTCCTCCCCCCCCCCCCAACCCCGCCCGCCCCACTCCGAACCCAAACCCAATCACGTTTTCGCGCCATAATTAAGTAACTCGAAGAAAGAGGAAGACCTGAAAGTCTGCGTCATTCCTCTTGAAGTCCTCAAAGTGTTCCAGCAGGCGTAGGAGAGATCCACACAGGAAGTTTACACGCACGGAGTCTTTGAGTAAGTCTTTGTTGACTCACACACACACGTGCGCGCGAGTATACATGCATATATGCAATCCCCTCTCCCATATTTTTTATTATATATCTGTCTATTTTTATGTCTCTCTCTCTCTCTCTCTCTCTCTCTCTCTCTCTCTCTCTCTCTCTCTCTCTCTCTCTCTCTCTCTCTCTCTCTCTCTCTCTCTCTCGCTCTCTCGCTCTCTCTTCCTCGCGTGGTGGTGTGGTGTAAAGATCAAAGGATCGAATCAAACCTGGAAGTTTTGTTTCAACTTTCTCTGTCCGTTTCCACGTTGTGAAGTTTCCGTTGGCAGATTATTGCTGCTTTTTGTTTCCTCATCCTTACTATCGTCATTTTCCTCTACTTCTTTTGTATGTTTGTCACTCTCTTGTGAACTGTTATATATTTCCGGGATGCCTTGATAGTCGAAGCAGACTTTGTGCTGTTGAGGCTAGAGAGGTGAACAGAGTAAGTATGATTCCCTGTAAGGACTTCTCAGTTGACATCCACCCCTTGGCGCCCATATGACCTAATGCATTTACTTTACTTTTACTTTTACTTTTATCCGCCGCTTATACCCTTTTGGTTGTCGCGGGAAGAAAGAGACGTCGCTCTGCCACCAGCCGGAGAGCTTGGGTCGGGGGGATGCCGTGGGTGGTTAATGTTTCCCTGGTTCCGTCTATCCAGGTCTTTCTCGGTCGCCCTCTAGCCTTGTTGCCATCGAATATTTTTATGTAGGCACGTTGTGCTGGGTGGTGGTGTTGGTAATCACATAAGATGTCCGAACCATTTGATTCTTTGGTGTTGAATGTGATGCATGACATCATTTAATGCATTTGCAAGGGCCGTAATACCTTATTAAAAACAACTCACTTCTCGGACGAGCCCGTCAGATAGAGAAGGATCGACCCCGTCGCCCAAAACATTCTGCAGCAATGAGGAGGCCAGACCGCTCGCTAACTTCTGTACCAGCGACACCGGCAAACGCTTCCTTCTTAGGGTGGTGATCAAACTGTGTAGGAACAAAGTCTTTTTTTTAATAATTTTGTCTTGTTTACTTGATTGCTTGTTTGTTTGATATTGTTTTTTAATGTATTTATTTATTTATTTATTTGTTTATTTATGTATTTATTTATTTACTCATTTATTCGTTTATTTATTTATTTGTTTATTTATTCAAGTATTTATTTGGTTGGTAGGTAGTTTGCTTGTTTGTTTGAGTACGTAGTACATTTGGTACAGGGAAAGAGAAAGGCAGACAGGCAGAGACAAATGGACAGAAGGTAAGTTTAGTTTAGTTTTAGTAGAGGTTTTACGGCGCTCGCAACTGCATAACGCCAGAAGATTAGAGGTGTTACAAGAGAGTAACAAACATAAAAAAGAAGAAAGGGAGATAGGACGATAGATGTTCGAAAGGAAAGAAGGAGTGAACCACACCAGAGCACCCGCCAACCACCCACAGAAGGTAAGTAGGACCTGCTGGTGGTGCAGAATAAGGCGTTAGTGAAGACATGGAATTTGCATTTAACCATATTGCAGGTGACTACACTCGTTCGTAGCCTGTATATTCTCGGCTCTCTAACTGTAGCACATCGGTGAGGGGACTCCGTGCGTCAGAAAAGCTGTAGAGGGGGAAATCCGGAACAGCGACGCATTCTCTCCTGGTGATCTCCATGCTAGAGTCCGGGATACGGAGTGTTCGGCTGTGAGCAGGGCATACGGCTGTTTTAGACTACACAGTAGCCCAACAATGCCCTACTGCTATCACTACCCCCCCCCCCCCCCCGCCCCGGAAAAAAGATAGAC